ATCTGTATGGATTAGACTTACTCCTTCTATTAAAAGATCTTAATTGTCTAATTGTTTCTTATTGAGTTAAAATTCATAACTTTAAGATAATGCAGTTTAAGGAGATTAATCACTAGCATTATAGGTAATTAATAATGTGTTAAAATTCTCTACTTATGACTTAAATAGTTAAACTGTTAATTATGCTTAAAATATTAATTTTGAATAATCAGATGAAGGAAAATGGTGTCTTATCTATTTCGGATATTCTGAGAACTAATAAAAAGCATTTATTCATAGTTAATTCTAAGGGTAGGAACCTAAGGTTTTTAACTTTAATGGAATTAGTCATAAATCTTCTGATGTTTACCATTTATTTGTTGGTTAAGCATTTTTATATAAAAACTTCCCAGGAAGAATAGTTAATTTATTATTATGTGGAGGTTATAAATGTTATAAAGAAGATGGGTTAGAATAAGTTTTGAATAATGTTCCTTAAAACAAAATATATTCTAAAGTTTAATTTATAGGTGCTGATGATCTTGAATTAGATTAAAATAAACCTGCTGCTGGTACTTATTAAAAATATGAAAACAAATTTTAGGCTGGTACTATAGAAAAATCTATATAGGTATGGATTAGACTTACTCCTCATGTTTAAAGAACTGAATGGACTAACTGTTTCTTTTTGAGTCAAAACTAAGAACTTAATGATAACTCATATTTGGGAGATAGATCACTAACTTTATATGTAATTAATAATATGCTACATTTCCCTACTTATGACTTAAATAGTTAAACAGTTAATTATAATTAAAATATAAATTTTGAATAATCAGAAGAAGGAAAATGGTGTCTTATCTATTTCGGATATTCTGATTTATAATAAAAAGCATTTGTTTTTAGTTAATTCTAAGGTTCTTAAGCTAATGTTTTGAATTATAATGGAATCAGACATAAATCTTCTAATATTTACCATTTGTTTGTTGGTCAAACATTTACATATAAAAATTTCCCAGGAAGAATCGTTAATTTAGTACTCTGTGGAGGATCTGGATGTTATAAAGAAGATGGATTTGAATAAGTATGGAATAAATTTCCCAAAGAAAAATAATATCCTTAAGATATAACTTATTCAAGAAACATTAGTTAAGTTAACGCTTTTATTTCTGCTGAATCTAATGAGCTCTCTAATGAAGAATAATTAGTATAATAAACAGAATAATAGGCTTTATTATAAATCAATAAAAAGAATCTTAAAAGAATTCATAAATGAAATAAATTTTATTTTATAATTTGAAGAAATTTATATATATCAAAATATGTATTATTTTTTCAAAAATATATCTTATATTATCGTAAATTTAAGATATTTATATATTTTTATTCATTTACTTATATTTTATCTATCTTTATATTATTATATTTTTTTAAATAAAATTAATATTTTTTATTTTCAATTTAATAATGGAAAATATCAGAAGAATTATTAAAAAAATTCCAATGATGAATAACTATTTTCAAAATTATAATTTAAAGCAAGAATTATATATGAAAAACAATAAAAAAGAAGTTCTATTATTATATAGATAATTCATAAAAATCATTCCAAAATTATTTTTAAGAAAACTTGAAATATAAGCAAAGCTTGAAGTAATAAAAAAAGGTTTAAAATAAATATAATATATAGGAATGTAAGTTTATTTTTAGAGAAAGTAGTGGAGAACAATTTATTGAAAATATTGATTTATATAAATAAACAGGAAAGGAAAGTATATTTAAAAATAAATATATTATATTTTTAAAAGAAATATATAAATTTTAAATTATTTTAGTTTTAGACAAAATTGAACAAAAAAAATATCCTCCTTTTCCTAGTATATATCCTATTATATTAGCAAACGTAGACTTTTCTCCAGAACATATGCTTTAATATAAAAAAGGACAACATTTTTAACATTGAGTTAATTTTTTTACAAATTATTTTATACATCCAATGCTTTTTTAAATAAAAATTAAACTTTAATCATATATTTTTTAATTTTTTTAAATAATAAATGCTAGATTTTATATATAATTCAAAATTAAAAATGAAATAAAATATTTTTTAAATAATTTCTTTTCTATTACAATTAGGATCAAATTACCCTATAAAAACTTTTCTTTTATTTTAAATCTAATTCTACTTCTTCGTAACATTTAGTGAACTCATTATTAAGCTAATTACATGCTTTTTCGTATTTTGGATTCATATTTAATGAGAAACAATACTAAAAAAAAACATTTAAATTTAGATTAATAAAATAAAATTAATAAAAAATTTTAATAACTGATATTTAAGGAAACCTTGATGTGCATTCTGTTTCAGCTTAAACCATGATTTCTGTTTATTTTCTTCCATTCATAATTTTAAATATATTTAATTTTATATATAATATTAATACAAATTAAAAAATTATTTTTTAATAAAATATAAATATGAATGAATACTTTAAATTTTTTGATATATTTATTTTTTGAAAAAATTATGTATAAAAAAAATAAATTAAAAATTATTATTTATTTAATTTAAATTAAATATCATTATTTAAAATACTATTTATCTTAATAAAACATGATTTTTATTTTTAATATATTTAAATTTTAAATTATCATTATTATTATAAAATTTTAATTTTAACACTAAATATATATTTTATTTTTATATAAGCATGCAATCAATTTCTAAATAAAAAAATAATTGTATAAATTCCAGCTTTATTTACAAGTATCTTTGAATTGTACTAATCTTATTATTCTTATTAAAAAATTACATAAATATTAAAATAATTAATAACAAAACTAAAAGTGAACAAAAGTAAATAAAAGAAAATAGTTAACTTAATTAAAATTTAAATAAGTACATTTTAAAAAATGTAAAAACTTTAATTATATTTTAAATAAATTAATAATTCTAATAAATAATTTGAGTAGAAATAATCTAACTAAAAAATACTTATAATTAATTTTTAACAAAATATAAAAATATAATTTTAAAATAGAAACTT